AAGTAATAATTACATATGGAATTTGAATCCTGTCTCTGCTGGCAATGGGTGAAGCAAGTGACTGCCTGATATCTCTTCAAGGAAATTGAAGCCAAGGAAATTGAATTGGTGGTCTTGGTCCAGTTTCTAAGACATGAGTTCCTGCAGAACTCTGTGGGGCACACCCTTACTGCCATCTCAGCAGTGGCTTGGAAACATGTGGGCATAAAGGTTTGCCTTGTACTGAGAGCTAGTGCTCACAGGAGAGGGCTGGACCCCAAATAGGGTATGAAGTGGAGACTGCTGTCTTGCTAGCCCAGATGTGCACAGCCCACTGTACAGCCAAAGTTGGAGAAACTTCTGCTATGTCTGCAGAGAGGACACATAGAGCTAGTCCTGTCAGTGGTGGGCAGTCAGAAACAGAACCATAGTGTGCCTGAAAAGAGTAAATGAGATGAAATGTTTTTAATGTATTAGGAGGAACTGAGGGAACTTAACTTTTGTTTTCCTAAGCAACCTTAACCGAGAACAAATGCACTGAATCAGAAGCATAGAATATATTGAGTTGAAAGGGATCCATAAGGATCATCAAAATCCAACTCCTGACCCGCACAGGAGAACCCCAAAAATCAAACTATGGGCCTTAGAGCATTGTCCAAATGCTTCTTGATGTATGTCAGGCTTGGTGCTGTGACCACTTTCCTAGAAAGCCTGTTGCAGTGCCCAGCCACCTTCTGGGTGAGAAACTTTTTTGTGATATCCAACTTAAACCTCCCCTGACAGAGCTTCATGCTGTTCCCTTGGGTCCTGCCACTGAGAGAAGAGATCAGTGCCTGGCTCTCTGCATCCCCTCACGAGGAAGATGAACTCAGCATCTGTGAAAGCATTCCCCATCTAAGGTTCCACAAAGCTGATACACCACTGATCCATCCCAGGCTCTGGTTAAGCTGTAGATCTCTCAGCACAGAAGGAATAAGGATGTAGGATGTTATGTGGTGTATTTCCACTTCTTTCAGGGCACATCACTGGAAGATCATGGAGCACGGCAGACAGTTACAAATGGGTCAAATTTTTCTGGGAGCTCTGCTCTGTTCCCTCTTCCAGCTTCCTCATTTCACTGATTTTTTAACAGCCAATCCCTTCTCTCTCTTGTTTGCTGCCCTTTGGTCTCATGATTTTCTCATCTCTCCCTTTCTCTTTCCAAAGAGGCTTTATCTTTGAATGAGCATTTTGAGCATTCTCTCACAATGCAATTCAGTAAGGCAGGACCTGTTACCAGAAAGCAGAATTCTGATGAGGTGAGGCACAGCAGAAACCAGTGCAGATGGTCTCTACTGTTATTGTACATCACACATGGTTACAGGAGAGGCTCTGGGCTCTGGGTGGCTAAGAAGCTTTGGCAGAAGAGCACAATCCCTGCTACTATGACTAATGTGGAAATGGCAAACGCTCTTGTGCTGCTGCAAAGTGACTCACAGTATCATGGCACAGCAGATTATGCTCTTTGTCCCCACTATATATTGTGACACATCGCCACGTTCAATAGCTCTGCAAACTGAAAGATTAAAGGGTAGGAATTAATATACAAAAAGGTCGAATCTCCAAAGGGGCTCAGACTGGTGAAAGGGGAAATACTTGCTGACTTGTTATTCACTCCATGGCAAAAAGTGCACTGAGGCATCATGTACTGGCTGATCTTGGAGAAGGTGAGACCTTGGCTTGCAAAGAGTGTGCCTGTAAGGAATGGTTCTCTAGTGCTACTGCATGGATTCATAGACTGACCAGATTCACAGAAAAAGCTAATTCCTGCAGGGACAGGGGCTGTGATAAAAGGCCTGATGAGTAGGGATGTTCGATCTACTTCGGCTTTTGCTGCAAAGCCATGGATGGTTTGATAGTCTAACTCAAATGATACTGTGTGTGTCTCTTCTCCAGTCAAAGGGAATCTTAAAAAAAGAGCACAGGGGAAGACAGAAGAAAAAAAAAATAGTGACATTAAAGAGTAAATACAATTACATAATAAGGAGATGTTTTTATAAAGATTGTGGAATTCTGAATTCCTTTAGAGGCAGCATCAAAAATATTATGGATAGCTACAAAGGTGAACACGTAGATAAAGTGCACATTTAATTGAATTTATTTGGGTCAGAATGGTATGATGTCATGCCTCTATAGATGTTCATTGTCCTGTTTTGCTATTTTCAGACAACAAAGAACACTCTGCTACAGGATATAATGGTGTGAACCCACATTTGAGGATTTTTTTTGTGGAGCATGAAAGAGTATCTGAGAGCAACATTCAGGCTTTAAACAATATATGGCAAGTCATAATCATAGCAAGACTATGATTATGTACATAATACTGCAGCAGTCTTAGCCACTTTCAGAATGAGAGATATACCATAAAGGAAAGTTGTTTGGAATACGCTGACTTTCGATGGGGACTGTCATGTTCTTTTTTTCTCTATACTGTTAATGCAATTGCATGCTCCATTGTAATATTTTATTTTTACCCTTGCATTTAGAAACAGACATGCAGAACCACAGGGCAGTGCCAGTAACAGATGCAACAGAGGAAAGTGCGAAAAATCCCATAATGAACAACGATGGAATAAGCTGCCCAGTGATGAAAATTTCTTTCTAACCCCAAGCAATTAGTGGCTGGCTTATAGCATAAAGCATGAAGTTTTGTGTCCTATCTACATTTTATCCAGTCTAATATGGCTGCGGATGTTCTCATTACCCATATAAATGACTAATCCTTTTATTTTTCATGCTGCTAAGCTCCAGGACTCAATAAAGCCTGTGGCAAGGAGTGGAGTTTTGGAGAGTGCATAAACGCTCATGAGAAGGGAGAGAATTAGACGGAGCAAACACATGATGTAAGCTACATGGGCTTGCTTTCAGTGTTTCAGGGACAGACAAAAGTAAAATGAGAGGTGAGTGTTTGACCTGCCACTGTTCCCTTTACACCTCTGCTATAACTTAAGATGTCAGTAAGTTATGGGGAAGCTGAGCACTGAGAAAGACAAATATATTGCTGAAGACATGCTGAGATAAATTCAAACTTTACACAGAGTAGACTATTTAGATGTCAGCTTTACTGGCAGGATGGAGTCTCTCTGCCTGACGTGAAGAGGAGCAAGGATGGCTGTTACCTTTTAGTGCGTCGAGCTGTTGGTGTTTGTGCAGGGACTTACTGTGAATTGCTGGCTGAGCAAGTCTCTCCGAAACTCAGAGAGAATCAGATTAAGGCCATTGACTTTTATATAAGCATGGATGAAATACCTAAGTGAAAGGCTTCTTTAATTATGGGGATAGTTGGGGATAGTAACAAAAGCTCAAGTCATTAAGATTCATCTAGAAAGAACATCTTTTCTCTGATATCCACAGTAATGGATCATGGAAGATTAGCTAAAAGGAGCTAAATAAACAAGGAAAAAAGACAGACACATAAATGGATGAATAAACAGAGAGATGACAGACTGGCAAACAGGTAGATACTGAAATAAATGGACAGTAGAACAGATGGCTATGTTTATGCAACCTTAAAGACAGCATGTTTTCTCGGTGCTGTGGTTGAGCTCACAGAGCATACTAAAGGCTCTTTGCAATCTTTTGGTGCCTTCACAAGACTCCAAAATCTCCCCTGCCCTTAAGCTGCTACAAAAACATATATACATGGCTATAACTTTTAGTAGATAAGTTCCTTGATTTCATTTCTTAGAGTTGAACTCACAGCTACATATTTGCAAAGTGTTTGTTAGGAGGAGGACAATTGTTTGTCAATACCTAGGTAAGGCTTTTATATTTCTCTGTTATGTGGTATTTTTCCTTGTGGCTCCTAAAGTCCCCTGTGATGATGACTCTTCTGAGTTTTTAGGACTGGCTGAGATCGAAAGAATTTTTTTCTCAGAGGTTTTGTGGGCTTTTTGGCTGGAGTATCTGACTCAGTATTCGAATTCCTAACAGTCTAGATCAATCTATGAGTGCCCCAGGGTAAAATACTCCTTTGCCAGCTGGTGATTAGGATCAATTAGTAACATTTACTTAAATTTTTATTGCTATGTTTGTTACTATTAGTATGTGTACAGCAATGGTAAAAAATATCCTCCTAGCAGAAGGAGGCTATCTCAAATCTTCAGAATACTGAAAAAATGTAGATGCACATGAAGGGATGGTGAACTCCTGAATTCTTGGTGATTACAGCCTAAGACTGTTCATATCTTTGTAAACAGAGGCAGATATGTATTCTTTAACCTCCCTCCTTCATCCATGACTGTCAGTGCTTGCAAAATCCCTCCTTCAGTGCTGGCATCTTTGAGCTAGGCACAGTCTGAATCCCAGCAGCAGTTCTCTGGCAGTGTGACACAAAAAGGTGAACCTGAGCCCATTCAGTGGCTATATTTAATGGAGCTTTAGTCTCCAGGCCTCGTAAGGCAATAGGATTTGGATGCAGTAAGCAATTCAGAGACCAACACCTGCTCTCTGCACACATGAAGCAGTTTTGGTCAGCAGACACGTGGACCCTTTGGACTTGTCCTCTAGAGACACCTGGCTGCAGGGGAATTCCAGCAGGAGTTACCAATGGTGGGTGCTAGCAGATGCAAATAGGCTTAGCACACCTCCTTCAAGGCCAGTCAGGAGCAAGACCCTTGGGTGTAAAGCTAGGAGAGATCTACCAGCATGAACTGGTCAGGACTCAGCTCAATTTTTAGCTGAAGCAAAACATGCTGGTTGTCATGACTGTATTCACCAGACACACTATCCAGCAACTGAGCACTCAGATATTCAGTACCAAATTTTTTCACCTCCAACATGCCCTTGGTGTTTATCATCCAGATTGAACTGTTTAACTGCTGTAGCTGCGTAAGACTGAAAACAGCAATGCTGAAGTGAGTCCTGATGGTGTGAGGCATAATCCCTCTGAGGTGTCTCTTGTTGGACAAAGCCTGTGGATGTGGACAGCCTTCCCTAACACTGAGGGAGCAGGTTGTGGGCACAGCATTGGTCTGGCTTACCTGGATAAGGGTGAATGCCATTAGCAAACACGGCTTCTGCAGCTGGCTGCCCATTAGCCTGCGGCGGGAGGCCGGTGAAACCATTCACCCCAATTGGAGATGGGATGCTAGGCACAGCTGGTGCAGTTATGCCAGGAGGCGTGCTTCCACCTGCAAACAGGGAGGACACAAAGTCAGAGCTGAGGAGTACTGGAAACAACAACAGCTACACGGGGAAAACTGCTGACACAACAGCTGTGACCACCAGACAGAAACCTCCCGATAATCCAAGAAATGAAAAATCTCCCAAGCTGTTGAGCAAATGAAGGGACTGCTTGCCATTGCTCCTCTGTTCAGAAAGCATTTAAGAAAGGCTTGCAAATCTTTAAAAAATTCCCAGCCCTACCTTTCTACAGCAGTTGCTCTCAATTTCCCTTTGGAGCTCTGTGCGTGTACTGACTTCCAGGACTACTCTGTCTGCAGTCTCTCAGGATACACCTCTCACGCAAACTCATTCTGAACCTTCTCAACACTAGGGATCCTTAAAAGGCTTGGCAAGTTGATTTGCAGCCTAAATGTAGCCAGGGATACTTTTTTTTAATGTCACTCTTTGGCTCAAACTTGACTTTACAGAGTTTTAATAGACTTCCCCCAGTGAACAGGGTCAAATTTTTCCTGTCATGGAATCATACTCCTTTCCTTCTTTCCTGATGCATCCTGGGACTCTAATGTTGCTATTTCAGAAGAAAAATTTAGTCTTTGTGGTTTGGGTGGGATCTTGTCACACACTGATAGAGAATTCTCAAATTTCTGGGAGTAGAATCAAATCCCTCTGCTACCTCATTGTCTGCTCCTATATCTATGTTTAAAATGACTGGACAGCTGTTCTTCTTGTGACATATTCAGGATGGTTTTAGGGATGCTGAAATAGTATTTTTCTCTTGCTGCCTGTGTGTGGGATGTTTAACTATCTTATCTTTAGCAATATCTTTCTGTGTCAGGGTATACTACTGGTAGAAAACACGACTTTTGCAGTAACCTCTTTTTAAAACCAATTGCAGATATTTTCTTCACCACAACAGCATTCCATGATGGGTAAGTCCAGTAACACAATGTAATGACTGCTTAAATCTGTGTTGGTGCTTTAAGAAAGCCAATGCAGATGCATGAGGTGTTTTAATATGTTCAGATTTGAGTAGCCCAAAAACCAGGCAGTATTTCAGCTCATTTCTTATACTCTGAGCAGACAAGCTGCTGCTTCCCTTTTGCTTATTTAAATGGTGTTGGCCTTTAAAAATGCCCTCTGTGGAGGTACAGGGAGCCAGCAGTGGCAACTGAAGTCCAAAGGCAATGCTCTTAGCATATGCCATCAGCTTGCAAATCACAAAGGCTACTTAAAATTTCAGTTGCTTTTCTGGATCTCTCCTTTATTTGCATAGAAAATGTAAGTAATTTTTTTCTAAAATTGCAACAAGGGATTTGTGCTTGCTATTTTGTGCATGTCTAAGGAAGTTTAGGCATATTCATTGGAATTTTTTAATTTTCTTCTTATAAAGAACCCCCCTGGAGAGGTCAGATCTGTAGCTGGAGTAAAACTGGCATAATGCCACTGCAGAGAACAAATGGTGGTGGTGGATGCCAGTTGTGGATTTCATCCCTCGTTTGAGATCTCTTGCTGCAGCTACACCAGGTGCAGATTTACAACACAGGGAGGGAGGGAGGGAGGGAGGGAGAAGAGAAGGAAGAAAGCCTAAATGAAATTTAATTTCTAGCCCCTCTTTGCAGTTAACAGGGTAGCAGATCCACTGCCAGACCCACTTTTCACCCATATTGTAGCAGAGATGGGAGAAATGTAAAACCTGAACTAAACTTTCAGAGATGTTAAATTAATTGCCTGACAATTACGGACTGTGTGTGAGATAAACCTGAGTCTTGATGGAGAACTGTTAAAATGACAGCAAACAGCATTAAAATTTTTATGGTCTGAATTACCCACTGGGACTGCCTATCGTCATCCACACTGACTGCAGGCCAGCCAGGTGACTAGATTAAATGAGATGTCTAACTTTTGTGTGGTCACAGCCAGGTGAGGACACTGTCTCTCATCTGTTAGGTTTGGCTGGATCCAGAACTCTCTGAGTTTGTAGGTCCCATGACCCTGAATGAACCCATGGCCATATCCCAAGGAACCCTCTCTCCTAGAGGGTGGACACACAGGAAACCAGCTGGATTAGGAGGCCCGAAGATATCAGCATAGAGGCTGAGCCAATAATTCCAATGCCTCTAGGACTCCTGGGTTACCAGATTCTTTTTCTCTAGCACAATTTTTCTTTTGCTTAGGAAAGATCAGAACACTTTCTTTTTACTTTTTCAATGTTCCAAACACTTTTTCTGATGCCTGTTTTTTTTTTTTTTTTTCAGAGAACTTTGAAATATTTCATTTTCATTCCAAGGCAGAACAAAGATATACTTCAATGACTAGAAATCCTGCTATGAAGCAGAGTGATCATTTTCCATTTGGCTTTCTGAATGCTAACAAAAGCCAGCAGGAGAATTCATGTTAGGCTTCAGATATCTCCTGGCCACTCAGAAATCGCTGCTAGTGTTGCAGGCTTGCTTGCTCAGAAATTATGTGAAACGTTTTCTATGCATCTTATAACATGCTTTGTGAGTGTTGTAGTAATACAAGGAGTAATTTCAAAGTCTAAACATTTCTCCTAAGGAATAATTGCCAATGGATGTTTCCACAACCCACCACAGAGGTTTTTCATGAAGGAAGTTACTCATTCAAGGTAAATCTGCAATAATACCAAAGTGAATAGGCTCTGTGATTGAAAATATGTCATTAGGAGAGTGCAAAATTGGCCACCGTGGAAGACATCGAGGGATCGTCTAAACCAGCATCTTATTTTCAACAATGACCAGTCATGGGTGATCCAGAAAGCACGTAAAAAACATGAGTTTCTCTCCTGTATTCTGACAGTCAGAGTTTAACAGTCTTCTCATCCTGTCAAACACTGGAACTGGCGCTGCCTGGGGAAGTGATGGAGTCACCATCCCTGTAGGTATTTAAGAGATGTGTAGATATGGTGTTCAGGGACACGATTTAGTGGTGAACATGGCAGTACTGGGTTAATGGTTGGACTTGATGATCTTAAAGGTCTTTTACAACCTAAGTGATCCAAGATTCTGTGGCTCTGAAAGACACTGGTCACAGCAGAAGAAGAGCAGGAGTTTATACCTAAAAAGAACTGGGTTGCTTTTTGTGTGCTAGATATCATGGTAGGCACATAATTTGGCTGTTTTACAGGTGTGTTCACATCTATCTCACAGAACTCACCATTTTCAAGACTTATACGTATTCAAAAGAGCTTGTGCTCTTTTGTGGTGGGTCCATCACATACTACTGCCTGGATTCAGCTTTCCAGGCCCTGACAACATTTGAATTCCAGGCAGTCTTTGTTTGATGTTCTCTCTGCTTCCACCAACACAAAACAAATCTAGCTAATGCAAATATGATAATCTTTCCAGCAGTGGTTTAAAGGGTGCACATATAATTAAGCCACTTTTCTATTTGGTTTTGCAGGAGCTCCATCGACTCATTGTTTATACTTTTATCATTGTGTAAACATATATTTTGAAATGTGTGGTATAAGATTTTTGAGTCAAGTGCTTTTCCTTGGGTCTCCGTAAGTTCGTATGGAATGAGATCTGTCTTTCTTTCTCTCCCTCTTCCCCTCACTCACTTGTATTCTAATACAAGCAAAGGAAAAGATATGTATATGATCCAGTAGCTGCTGATGCTTTTCCCAGCTACAGATTGCAGAGAGATTTTGTGTGCAGTCAGGGAGATTTCCTTTGGCAGACAGGTTAGCACAGCTCAGTTCATTAGGAATGGCCTAACCTGCATTGCTTTGGTGCCTTAATTCCCTGCCATCCAGTGTTTCTCAACCACCAGGCATCTTTCCTGACTACTTTGCAAGACGGCACTTTCCCACTCTGGGGCTGGTGCAAATCTCTTTATATTCAGCAGTGAAGCTGCCTCTTTCCTCTCTTACTGCTCTGCTCTACCCAGCATTGCCTGCACCACAGCAGGCTCAGACACATCTCACTCCTTGCATGTCTTGTCCCACACCTTTGTAAAGCTGGTCCTCTCCAGGCCAGCTGGATGCTTCCAGGTTCACACAAGGTCACTGGTATGCCATATCTCTCTGAGTACACTCCCATTCCCTGTACCTCTCAGAGAAACAAGCTATGTCACCCCAAGGACCCTTTTATCCCAGCCTGTCTCTTAGAAGTGGTCCTCTGAAGATGCACCTTTGAGACCTTTGCTCCCCTACCAGACTCTGGTATATTGCAAGGCTTTCCAGGTTCTCACTTCTTTTGAGGTTTGGCCCAACTTTCCTGCTTCCCTTCTTCACTGCTATTAGGCCCCATACCACTCCATAACTACCAGCCCTGATCATTCCTTGACCTGTTCCTTCCCAAGTGATATCCCTGTGCTTCAAGGCCCAGGAAAGACAGACCTGTTTCCATCTTCTCAGCTTATTTCTTTGCCCACAGAACCATATATTGAAGCTCCTACAATAGGCTTTTCACAGCCTAGACAGATCCTGGCAGCCCTTCACTGACTACCTGTCTGTGCTCCAGCAGCCAGAAACGCTCTCACCAAAGGCCTTCATTCCAGATAGCACCAGATACCTTCCCTAAATACCTACCATCCTATCTCATAACAGGGGAAAGGCTTATGTGTCCCAAAGGCAAAACCTCATCTTGTTTATGGTAATGCATCTCACCACCAACCCTATTTTGTTTGTCTTTGGACCAGCCTGGCTGTGGCAGCACCAGCACTGACCAGCTGGACACATATATGCACCAATAAACCAGTTGCAGGACACTACAGGATGTTTTATGGCATTTGGAGGGTGCTCGGAGATAAAGAGAAGTTGTGTATGAGATAACACTGATGAGGAAGTGTCACAGAATCATAGAATGGTTAAGGTTGGAAAAGACCTCTAAGATCACTGAGTGACCCAGCACTGCCAAGCCCACCGCTAAACTATGTCCCTAAGTGCCACATCTACACATCTTTTAAACACCTCCAGGGATGGACACTCAACCACTGCCAAGGGCAGCCCGTTACAAAGAAACCTTTTCCAATACCCAGTCGAAGCCTCCCATGGTGCAACTTGAGGCCGTTTACTCTGGTCCTGTCACTTGTGCCCTGGGAGAAGAGACCGATCCTCACCTGGCTGTAGGTGGCTATAACAGAGAGCTAACATGTCCTGCCAGGTCTCCTCTGGGATGTGTCCAGGCCTCCCACCCTTTTCCCTCTCCGCCCCTCTGCCCCCTTACCTGAGGTTGGTGTCATGGGGGCGGCTGCCAGGCCATTCATGTTCAGAGCCGCCATCTGCTGCATCTGGGCCGCGGCAAAGGCTGCCATGGGGTTCAGGTATCCGCCCTGCGCCACCGAGGCCATGATCGCGGCCTGCTGCTGCATCAGCTGGAACAAAGAGAGCAGGGAAAAAATATCACGCGGTCACTGGCTGGGCAGCCTGTGGCACTGGCCCCAGGGTGGGGGCCTGGTGAGGGTGTGATGCGCCCTTCTGTTTTGAGGTGTCAGCCCACCAGGCCTGTGGTACCCCCAAGGCTTGGCCTTCCTCCTCGCCACAGGAGCCAGAGGCAAATGTTGTCTTTGCAGCTTGGGGTCTCTGTGGTCCCCACCCCCACCATGTGTTCCCCCAGCGTGGAGGTCTCCCGTGAGCTGGAAACAACCCTCTGACTCCCTGGTACTTCTCTGATAAGAAGGGCAGAGAAAAGACTTTATACATAGAAAAGACTATATACCTGAGCAAAGAGGTTTCATGGCTTACATTGCTTAAAGTTCTGGGAAAGCCCTGGTGGTTAGTGATGGGAGACCGGTGTATGTAGGGAAAGGGGATTCCTTCTCCAAAGCAGCAAGCCTGGCTAGTTCTCTAGGGATAACCTGATTTGTTTCCACCTGTCAGGGACAAAAATCACTTTTTCTGATGCTGCTAGGAAGCCTCTAGTGGGTACAGAGCAAAACCATGACCAAACCTTTTGACCAGATTATAGCACCTATTTCCAAAACAACCAAGCAGAGACAGAAGAGCTGTACAAGAGGAGGAAGCTCCCCTACTTTAACAAGATTAGTATTGCCTAACAGAAAAACCCCTTTCCCATGGTTTTAATCTAGGCTGACTTCCTACATTAATTTTTTTTCAGAAAGTGATCAAAATATTGCTTGTTTCAGGGCACCTACCAAAAGCAGAAATAAGGAACCCAGGCTATACTTTGAGGCATTCCGGGGGTAAAAATTTTAGAGCAGAAGGCTGGTGAATGGTTGTACATGCTGGAAATGCTTCTTTCATTAAAACCAGACTTTGTTATCATTATGTTATACTCCAAACCTGGAACACAGCTGGTGCAGTTCATGTGTACATTATGGCTGCAGTGGGCTTATAAAGTGAAGGATAAGACAGTCTGGTTGAAGCTGCCTCTTGTCTCCTTCCTTGGAGCTGTACGAGGAGCCAGGCAGGGTATGTCCGAGTATCCAATCCCCAGCAGTGACCAGTGGTGGATGCTTAGAGAAGGTGTGGGGGAAAGAAGATGCACAGAGAGTAAAACCTCACTGTACCTTGCCCAGCTTCTGGTAATCTGTGCCTTGATGATAATAGTGGAGAAGAAAAATGTTTTTCTGTAGTCATTTTAGAAGTGACTCATGTCTATGCTTTCTCCAGAATTGGAGCAACTCTGTTTTGCTGCTCTCTGTCATTTCACTCTCTCTCCCATCAAGAAATCACCTTCTGACGCTGTTCTTTAAGCACATGGGACTGCTTCTCAGCATTAAACAGATCTCAAAAGTCATGGCAAGGAACACACTTACAGCTAACATTTCCCTACTGTTCGCTAACTGAAATATCAGCTAAATTAGCTATTCATACACATACGCGCTAAAATACACACTAAATTCAATGAATGCCTTGAATGAACCCTTGAAAATGAACTGCACTCATTCAAATACTGAAACTTGTCACCATCAGTAAAGGGTGCTCTGCTACAGACCTGCTGAATAACCATGCACATGTTGTGTGAACTTGCCTTGGTTTCTCCAGCAACAGGAGACACAGGATACCTGCCCAACCATGTAGGAGTGCCTTCAGATCTACAGATGAAAAGTGTTGCACTGGAGTTGAGTATTATTGTTTTTTGAAGCCTAATGCAGATTGGAGGCAAAGTGGTGGCTTTCCCTTTGATTGTTAATTACCCTTTTTTATTATACCCTGCATAAGACACTTTCACGTTTTAATTAGTGATATCCTGTTCTTTGTAATTACTGATGGAGTGATTAGACAGTCTTTTCTATTATGGCACAATGCTGATTCCCCTTTAAGGAATACATTTGTTTCTAGACATTATTTGGGTTTATTCTGCAGAGAAGGTACTGAGAAGGTGATTTTAGAAAGTATGCCAATGAAGTGAATGAGAAAGGGGGAATCCATCCATCTTTAACACTGGATTGACTCCAACACTAGGTGTGCTGACTCATATCTCATTTTCTGTGCTGAGTTCTTTTACCCAGGACAGAGGAGGATATAACTGGCTGGTTACAGAAATGATGGCCAAGATCTGTGCCTATAGGATCTCTGTAGCTCTGCAGACCCAAGTAACATCTCTCTGAGATGGATGCAGTTGCAAGGGCTGGGGACATTCCCAGTCTGGCCCTTGATGAGTTTTCTCTGCTCTTCTCCACAGGTGACCACAGCTGCATGAACAAACCCACCTAAAAACAGAGTGATGTATGGCTGATTGTGTGTGTTCCATAGTTAGTCTTGCTGGCAGATATCAGCCTGGTGTTTTAACGAGAGACCTTCTAGAGTAGGCAGAAGACTATGTTTTTGGCATTTCCCACTGTCAGGTTCAATAAACTAAATACAGATGGGGTTTCCTGTAAGCTGGTCACCCATCATGGTTGATGTGATAACAGGCAGAGGAATCTAGGCCAAGATTCATCTCTCTCTTCTGCACCCAAAAGCCTCTGGGCAGGTGGATTGCAGCTTTGTTTCTCCCTGTTGACTGGAAGTGAAACCTCAGTTGATTGGTTCAGCTGCACCTACCAACATAGTCAGATGAAATAATTTCCACCCCTTACCTGGCCCTCAGCAGATATTTTTGGAACTTGGTTCACATCCATTTAAAAGAAAGATATTAATCCTGTTTTTGTGTTTCACTTATGCTGCTGAGAAACAGGGCTCTATCTAAAAAGTTGCTGCATTGGCAACAGTAGTACAAACGATTCTACTGCTCCAAAGAAAATCTCCATTTTGCACTCAGCAGAGCTAGGCAGTCACTTGTGACATTAATTATGGCTTATGCAACTTTTTTTCTTGCTTATGGATGTCTCTAAGCTGTTCAGAGTTAACAATGGCAGGTGCTCCTCCTGTTTGCAAATCAGGTAACCTCAGTGTGTCACTTCTTGTGCTTTTGGAGGGATTATAAATTTGCACTGGAAGGTGCGTGTTTGCAGAGTATGCCTTGGCTACACACATGTTCGTTTTTGCATGTAAAGTCATTCATGCCCTTCACAGACCTTTGGAGAGAAGATGGTATTTTGCCCCTCCTTGTGAGAAGAACTAGATGTTCCTAATCTACTGATCTGTGCTGAAGGTGCAGGGTCTGCAGCCTGAAGCCTGACGGATTTCAGTGAAATGGTCACTTAAAACTGGCCATACTCCCACAGAGACTGAATGAGGACCATGAGGAGCAAAGAGGTTAAATTTGGCTTTGGGTTAAAAAGCAAATGCAGTAAAAATAAGGTCCTAAGCTGTGATTTGGGAAACTAGATCAGGTGCTTCTGCTGCAACAGACATCCTGCAGAGAGTAGTCACCCCGTTTCTGTTATGCTCAGTGCTCTGTGGATGTACTCTCCAAGATGTCCTAGAGACCTGGCATGCTGAAATAAGCTGGAGCCCTTCACACCATGACCCAAAGGACACAGACCTCACTGCAGTCTCTGGGGTAACCTGGGGTTACCTGGAGGTGGAAGGAGTAGAGCTTTGCACATTTGAACACAGATGTGTACCCCAGTTAACTGGCTTATACATCTGGACATTTCAACTCTTGACAACCCTTCTGTCTCCCTTCTAAGGTCACAGATCTCATTTGTACCCATCCTGATCTTGTTGGATGTGCTCAGGGGTAAAGGCTAAGGAGAAAGAAGAGGGAGATTCCACCCAGCCCAGTGGCTGATGGTCAAAGCCTGACTGAGTGCAGTGGCATGATGCAGGTGGGAGGACGGGAACTCAGTCACCTTGGAAGAAGTTGACAGCATAAGATCTACCTCCTCCCCTCCCAGAATGGCTCCAGGGAAATTTACAAAAGGAGAGCAAGTCCTGTAAGGGTCACCAGTCTTCCTTATAAAACCTCCAGGGCATTCCCAGTGAAAGTCACCCTACTCCTTCCCCAGCTCCCTTGGAAGACAAATGTCCCATCCACTCTCTTTTCACTTTGAAAGATACCCAGTGTATGGTCCCAGTTAATGAAACTGTAGAAAGTGAGGCAGTGACCCCACCAGAGGCAAATCAATAGCAGCAGGGCCCCTGGGTATTGTGTACTTTAAAATATGCCATTTGAAATGCAGATTTTCCCTGTCTGGGCTGGGGCTACAGAGCACTAATCAGGAAGGCAGCAGCCTTATTATCTCAAACTGATCCAAGGGGACATAGAGGAGCTTTTTCCTCCCTTAGCTGAAAGGACGTATTTCCTTTTGCTTCTCTTACTTCCTTGGCATGACCTTTGCCTCAGCATTTAGAGCTTTTTCCAATCCATTTTAAAGATTCATTCCTTCTTTCCTGCTATCTTTTCTTTTGCTCAAATATTTATCTTCTGAGGAGACCAGCAGATGCTACCAGACAGGTTCCTACCCCTGGACAGCACCTCAAGAGGTAGAGAACCTGCAGTCTCCATCCTAATGCTTGAGAACTGATGGGGTAGATGTAGAGGTGCTGGTAAAGCCATCCAGACCATGGGAAGGGGTGGCAGTGATGGTTGGTCAATAGAGGGAGATGGAAAGATTTGTCTCACGCATCTTTTTGCTACCTTGAGTTGCAACTGTACTCAAGGGCAAGAAATGCTGTCCATTTTCTTAGAGGAGGAACAATTGCATGGAGACGAAGGAACTTTCTCAAGGTCAAAAACTCCTGCTAGAAACAGGACAAGAATGCACAGCCTGCCTTCCCCAGCCCCCACAAGAAATGCATGTGAAAATGAAAAGTGGAAGAGGAGAGAGGGGGATTATTTCTGATGAACTCTTTTTGAAATAGCATGATCATTGCCCTTGGGGAGGTCTTACTCTGAAAGATGTGATGACCTTCTCCTTTTTTTTCAGTGTTGTTTTCCATTCTTATCTCTGAACCACATGATGTTTTGTTTGACTTTTCATATTCTTCATTCAGTAATAATAATAAAAGTAATAACAGCATC